CTTTCGAACCAGAAAAATGGTGTGAAATAAATGAATCCATCCAATTGAGCAGTTTTATGGAACGAGTTTGGGTAGTGTTAGCAGATAAAACAGTATCTGATTTGAATTTTCTTAATTAACAATTACAGAATAAAAAAAACTGCAACGCTCATATGGGTTCGTTTAAATTGTTGAAAGTTATATCGAAGATCATAAAACTAGAACTTGTGAGTCCGAGTTTGGATTTATGGGTTGACCAACGAGTTACCACCTTGACGTACATTTTTACTCATCCTCAAACGAGATTAAAATCTATAAAGTGACAAAAATACCCTTAGATGATTATATCGTATTTAGCAGCCTTAAGAATAAATTAATCACAAAAACAACATCCTTTGTTCTTCTTGTCTCCAACACCTTAACTTTCCCTATAAATAAAACCATATATATATATAATTCAAAGTCTTATAGCATATATACAACACCCACAATCTCTCTCTTATAAATCGTGATCGTTTTATCACATTATCTTATAAAAATCAATTAGGATTAATCTAAGAGTGAAGATATATTTTTTATTGAAACCCAACTATATATATATATATATATATATATATATATACATACTTGAGATCATGTGAGACCAATGGCTTTTCATGAGACCTGTAAGACCAATTCTCAACCCTTGAATTAGATTTACAATATGAAAATCTAAACATTCACAACGCCACGAGACTTCTCAATAATCACAAAATTGTCACCGTCAATTTAGATCATTAGATCATTAACTTATAAAGTTGATCAATGAACATAAATTGGTCTTACGGGTTTCACGAAAAACCATTGGTCTCACGTGAACCCAACCCTATATATATATATATATATATATATATATATAAGGAAACAATCAAATGCAACTCATCACATTTGTACAACTAATGCAACCCAATAAATTGAAATATTTATGGAAATGATCAGAGTTCATTTATTATGATTTAAATACTTATGAAAGATGAATAAGATTCATTAATTATGATCAATGCTTTATATAATTAGGAAACAATCAAAACTTCTATGAAATTACATATTCATCAAATTAAATGGACGGCTGAGATTGAGTTGTATTGGTTGTACAAATGTAAAAGGTTGTATAATAACTCACCTCTAAATATATGTACGTATGTATGGACAGGTTCAAACGAGAAGATAAAATTTTGCGAAAAGGCAAGAAATGTCAACATCATATATGATTAGACGTGTGATAAAAAAAAACTTAATCATATATGATTAAACACATGGTGCATTGACAATACATGTATGCTTAATTATATATGATTAAACACATGGTGTATTGACGATACATATACACTTAATTACATATGATCAACGCTCAGGAAACAATCTAGACATTCAATATTAATTAGACCAGATAAACGTTTGAAATTGGTTTACATGCTTTTCACTAATAGTTTTAGATTTTTAAATGGAACCACCTCTCTTTTTATATATATATATATATATATATATATATCAACTAAACTTATATACATATATATATATAGAATAAGTTCATGCATATATGTTGATGAAAAATGTAGAGAGAGAAAGAGGAGAGAGAGAGAGGGGCACATGGGAACACGATAGCATGTGAAGCCAGAGTATTATTTTTTGGTTTTTTGAAACTAGAATTTGCATGGAAGATGCTAAACCCTATTTTGAAGGGGGCTACCCCGCCAACCTTCCAACTAATGGGGTTGGGTCCCATGTGAGTTGTGACAACAGACTCTCTTTTTTTTTTTTTTTTTTTTTTTTTTATTTTTTTTTAAAAAAAAAAAAATACACAACTAAAATGAGGTGGGTCATTCGTAACCATTTAATAATTTCAAGAAAATCCCATGTAAATTAACCTAAATTGGTTATTTNACTAATGGGGTTGGGTCCCATGTGAGTTGTGACAACAGACTCTCTTTTTTTTTTTTTTTTTTTTTTTATTTTAATTTTATTTAACAAAAAAAAAATACACAACTAAAATGAGGTGGGTCATTCGTAACCATTTAATAATTTCAAGAAAATCCCATGTAAATTAACCTAAATTGGTTATTTTTGAAGGTCTCGAGTTTGAATCTTATATTTACGTCTCGTTTAATAAGATTACATGGTCAAAATACGTTATTTAAAAAGTGGTTCGAGTTTTAATGGCTTAATAAGGTTGCCTACTACATTCAGGTATAAAACTGATCTCGAAAGAGAGCTCTTTCGCTACTAAATGAAAGACTTTTACCTACTTTTTTTTTTCTGGGAAATTCGTCGCAAAAGGATGATTCGTCACAAAACCGTCACGAAAGTTGGTGGGTAAACCCTAAGGGTGGTGGCGTGTTGGCAAAAAGCCTAGGGGTGTGGTGTAATATTTCATCTTCTCCGAGTTCGAGTCCAGACTTTAGCATCATGTGACCAGGTTTAGTCTCGGACGGTCGCAATTTGCCAGGATGTAATCTAGGCAATTGCCTGGGTGAATCTTTACCCAAAAAAAGTTGGTGGTTAAATTGTTGGTGGTAATTCAAATTAGTGATAGATTACCCACGTATTTTCTGGATGATCTGTTGGTATTTATTTGAAAAACTTCGGTTTTTGTCGGAAGCACTGGTATTTTCTGGTTGAGAATTACTGACGAAAATTTCTCTAGGTGAATTTTGTGGGGTAAAATTCATTTGGTTTGTAGCGTTTCTTTCTCGTTATGAAATCGTCGTATGGTTTTTTGGTCGAATCTTTTTAGAACCACTACAACAAAATTGGGTTTATAGTACACCAAATTTAAATGTATAAGCATTATAATAGAATATTTTACAAAATTTAAGTTTATAAAACATAATGATTATGAAGCGTTATATCTAAAAATGTTATGACAAATTTATAGGACTCTTTTGAGTGTTATAACTCGTTTTTAGAACGCTTTTAAAATAAAGTATTATAATTACCTATTTTATAGGACAATTTTGAGAAGTGTCCTATAAATCCATCTTTTTACAGGACATTTTCCAAAATGTATCATATAAAAAACTTGTTAAAATGCCTAAAGCGTCTTATAAATACATCGTAACACTTTTAGATATGACACTTTATAAATGTTGTAGTAGTGAAAAATTAACCATCTTGAATAACTGATACATACAGTCTTCGCTTATAATTACAATACTGCCACTAATATGTCTTTTATGATGGAGCCATTTTATGTCGTTGGAAATTCTGATCGAGTCACATCGTCAATACCTTTCAAGTTTTATCATCTTATGTTGTCAACTAAATCAAATTAGGTTTCGACTTTCCTGTATTAATTATGGACAAAATATGTATCAAAATCGTTGGTTCACGCTTGTTCTTTTTCTTTCGAATATGAGACCTCATGATCGATGACCAGCGAGTTCGAACTTTAGTTAGGCATCGTTTTTTAATGCACTTTATGATTAGGCAAACATATTTGGTAGTAGTTGAGTTATGCCTATCCTAAAAACAAAAAAAAGCCATTCTTGAATTATGCTTTGTATAGATACTGATTTACATATAGAATTACTGAGATATGTGTTGTATCGTTTGTTTTAAATACAGTTCCTATTCAACGATACTGTGTTTTTATACATAGATTCTGTTAGAACCTCACGTCTGTTAGACTTAAATCATTTCTACTCAGTACATGTGAGAGCTGACTCTTTTCAACATGCGTCTCTTTCAGGGAGTTAATCAAATGGGGTTTCGAATATTCTCACATATCAACAGGGTTAAGGTCTACCATATATTGGCTCGAAACTCTGAGGTATACTTTGTGCTCGTGTAGCTCCCTTTCAACACTACTAGACAATTCTCGTCTAGCATATGTTAGAAACACTATAACAAAATCGGGTTTATAGGACACTCCCAAAAATTCTAAGTGTCCTAATAGACCTTTTTATAGGACTTAGTTTATAGGACCAAAAAATAAATTGTCATATCTAAAAGTGTTGTAATTAGTTTATATGACATTTTTTCACGTCGTAATAAGTTTTTTAAGACACTTTTAATATAAAGTGTCTAATTATCAACTTTATAGGACACTATTTGAAAAACCGTCGTATAAAAACAAATGTCCTATAAAAAATTGAGTTTACAAGACTCTTTCTCAAAAGTGTCCTATAAAGTTGCTAATGCGACACTTTGTATTAAAAGTGTTCTAAAAAACTTGTTTAGACGCCCAAAAGCGTCATATAAACTTATTACAACACCTTTAGATATGACGTTTTATATTTTGGTCTTATAAATTAAGTCATATAAAACGGTCTATTGGGACGCTTAGAAATTGGGGATATCCTATAAACCCAATTTTGTTGTAATGAAAAGGGCGTGTCATATAGATTCCTGCGTCTACTAGAATTGGACTGTTTATCCTCAATATATATATATATATATATATATATATATATTAGAAACTCATTTCCCTCTTCAAAAGAGCTATTTTAAATAGTAATCTAATAGGGTTTCACATATTATCACAAATTCTTACATACGTTGTTTGATCTGTTTCAAGATCTTATCGATTTAGGGTTTCTTTAAACGTTTCAATATATATTAGTTGCTTAACATAAGTTTAAATTAAAGATGATGAAATAAGATAATGACACAAGTGAAAGAGCTTGTTATTCTAACTCATTATTTGTATAAAATATTAGCATCACATTGCAGGTGAATGTATAGAATCTGTAAGGAAACTACAATAAAATCAAATATTCAAAAAAAAAGCCACCCC